TTAAATCTTGTATTTATTATTTTCTTTAAGTCTCATTTTCAATTATATTTTATATTTGTTATATATATTTGAAAATGCATTTGGTACGATACAAATAAATTAATTACAATAAAGACAACAAGGAAGTGAGAAACAGAAATTAAAAATCAAACAAGAACAGCTCATTCAGTAGAACATAAATTAAAGTTAATTAGCGTAAACAGTTTATTACATGAACATAGGCCTAATTAGTGATCAAGATCTACAAAAAATGGCTAACATATCCGAAAACGCCATTCCTCTACACCCAGGCCCAATGACTGTTTTCAAAAGGACCTACAGAGAATGAATGAAAATAAATGGGGAAAAAATAATGCCACCCTAGCTTTTAGCCTATTGCACTAAATACTGATATTCATCGTATATGTTGAGTATTTATTGGCGGTCACTGTACTTTATTATGAATAGGACTACAAATAGTAGGCCTATTGTACACTTATTTTTGATATAGGCCTACCATAATATATTTTAAATGCAAGGTTATTCCCAACACTTATATATCGGAACAAATTATAGACAATAAATCAATGGATAGAAAAGCAACTTAAAAAATGAAATAATGATAATATGTTAAAGATCGTAATTCAGTAAATATCCCATAGCCCATTGAGTGCAGGACCAGAGTCAAGCGTCTAACTTTTACTTTGATAGAACATAGAGTATGTCAAAACCACAGGCCCTAAACTTCCAGCCGGCGATGCAGTACACTGCAAGGAAGACGTTCCAAGTCCACTTGATACGCCGTGGGGTATCAACAATTGAAAACTACTTTTATACATTACCAGTGCGTTTTATAAATGAAATTAAAATCCCTGTAGTCATTTGGTACATTCAAGCGTTTAAAAACCATTTAATGATTATACATTTTAAATTTAAATATTTTGAAAAATTATTATAAAATTAATAACCCATATGGAATGGTAGATTCCATGGTTAATCAATGACGCAACAAAATATGTGCTTCGCTGTTTGAAAAGGGGTGAAAGCAATACATTGAACAGCAATCTAGAGAAAACACGGAGAAAACAATATTTTACAGTATACAATACAATACCTTCTTTAAAGAGCCTGATAATCATATATAATAAATATATTCTTTTACACTAAACTTCAAGAGTAATCAACATTGAAATAGAATAGAGTCTAGGTTTGTGCCGCATCAAAACACATGTTTCATCGGTAGAAAGGGGTGAGAGCAGTGCATGTAACTGCTAGCTGGAGAAAATTGTTTTTGTCTTTTTTTGAAACGTTTCTCGTCACATACAATGGATATACTGTTCCACCAAAGTTCCAGATTAATAAATATTAAAATAGATAACATATAGGCCTAGGACACCTGCTCACATTTATATCAGATAAAGGTACTAATATGAAGTTCAATATTTTTTTTGGTATTTCGCTAACACTGAAGGGAGTGTACCCTATCTACGTTCATGATCGAATGTAGGCCTACTGTAGACCGATATCTGTCTGTCATCCTAGATAGTTTTATTTAATAATCTTAATTAATACTAAAACGATATAAGAAATGATAATTTTAAAGACTAACTGTAAAAAAGATATAATTAGGCCTAACACAAAATCATAAAAATTGCCTGTTTTCAATTTTTAATTTTACTCCGTAATTTTTCTGAGTAAGCCAAAGCCTAGGCCTATCCATGGAGGTATATCTATGTCCTAGGCTTCTCCTAGTTTTATATTTCTGCTGTCTGTTGGTTTTGATCGTAACGGTGACGATAATCTCGATAAATTATTAATGTAATTCTCAGAAATATAACGTGAGCTTGCGTTACTTCCAATTACGAGACGTTTTTGTTTGTGTTAATTGGGTTTTTACACTAAGCCTGTTATCAATTCCCCACTACGAAGTGGAGTAGTCCAGGAAAATAATCCCAACGCGTGGCCAACTATGGGATTAAACTGCCTTTAATCGCATTGCGTGGTCCACTCGTATACGCGTTGCTTATTTTGCAAGGCTCCCTTATTGTTTTCATTTTTGCTGACACGAGCTTCATTGCAATCTCTCGTAACTACTGCCATTAGTTAGTATTGCTATGAAGTATACAGTAGGCACTTATTACTATAATTATATATATAATTTTCAAAAGGAAGTAATTAAACTAGCCACATAGTATGCCCATCCTCATCCAACACAAACATGATGATTACTATACCTTAGTACTGGGGTCTTCATAGAATCTGAATGGACCGTTGAACATGAAAATTCCATTAGCGTACAGTGTGAGTGGTACATGTTCTTTTGTTTGCAGCCTAGCACCACCTGCCGTATGTTTCACCTCTTTCAGGCCTTCTCCAGCGATGATATTCAGTTCTTTGATGTTTTCAATCACTCTATCAAAATCTACTTGGGTTTTATCTGTGGCAACCGATGCAGCTGCAAAGATGTGAATATGATTTGATAAGATATTAACATAGATTTGTTATAATAATCAAAAGAAGAAAAAAAACAAAACAAAGCCGAATAACATATTACTCGTTATTGATAGATTTTTTTTTCTTAATTTCATGTTGATGCCAAAAATATCTTATTTAAAGAAAAAATATATCAAAGTGCAATTATTTAGATTTGCAATTGAATGATTTACAAAAGCCACGAAGAGGTAATATCCGCCTCAACATCGGAAACAACACTATGTTAAAAGTTTAAGCTGTCTTTCAGCTGTTTATCTTTAAAAGGTTTTCTCAAGAACTCATCTTAGGAATTTATCTCAACCAAGAATACAGCAATATCCTTTCTCCTATACTTTGCTGTTTGATTAGTGCTGAATATATACAAGGCTTGCCTTCCCATAACCAGCATACTGTTACTAAATATTAAACTGAGTAATTAGCATAATAATGTGCCAGTATTGTATACTTTTGTACAGAGAAGCTGTAATACTTTTACTCATAACTTCAGCAATCGTGAGTCGATTCCAGTAAATGACCCATCATTTTGAACCTTATAATGCAGAGGACTGCAGTATATTAAAAAGTCAATTTATTGTTTTAGTCACTGATGCTGATTTTGGCATGGCAAGCCTAATATATATAAATCATCATTGATAAAGATAAGAAATCTACAGGAGTAAACATAACATTTTATCCCAAAAAGCAATGTAAAAATAATTACTTCAAAGTTTTGAACATAACTTTAATGCCTATGACAAAAATATCATGTCACATACAAATTTTCAATAAATTGTGGAAAATTTCAGATGTATGTATTTTATTTATGTATTAATCTGCCTATGTAGCACTACAGTAGAAAGATGTAAACATATATATGT